TCTCATTTCTCTGTCCTTGATCTCAAGGATGCCTTCTTTTCTATTCCTCTAGACCCCCAGTCACAAAATATCTTTGCCTTTACTTGGACTGACCCAGACACTCACATTTCTACACAACTTACTTGGACAGTCCTACCTCAAGGGTTCCGGGACAGCCCCCATTTATTCGGTCAGGCCCTAGCCTCTGATTTATTCTCTTTGTCTCTCCCAAAATCCAAGTTGATACAGTACGTAGATGACCTTCTCCTTTGTAGTCCATCCCTAGAAATAAGCCAGGCCGACACATCTACTTTGTTAAATTTTCTATGTAGCCGAGGATATAGGGTATCACCCTCTAAGGTCCAGCTGTCCATTCCTCAGGTAACTTACCTAGGACTAACTATTACTCCAACTCATAAGGCTATTACCCTAGATAGAAAAAACCTAATACAATCACTTACAGTCCCCACCACAAAGGATGAAATCTTATCCTTCCTAGGAATGGCCAGCTTCTTACGTTCTTGGATTCCTTCCTTCTCCCTTCTTGCTCGCCCTCTGTATCAGGCAGCCCTTGGCCCATCACATGAGCCTCTCCTTGCACCTGTTACCAAGCCATTTCGTCAGCTTCAACAGGCCCTCCTACAGGCTCCAGCCTTACACCTTCCAGACTTAACACGTCCCTTCTCTCTCTATGTTACTGAGAAAGAGGGATATGCCCTCGGGGTCCTGGGTCACCAACTGGGACCTTCCTTTGCACCAGTCGCATACTTATCAAAAAAATTAGACCACACTATCCAAGGTTGGGCACCTTGTCTGCGGGCTCTGGCTGCAGCTGAACTCCTCATACGAGAATCAAAGAAGTTAACCTTTGGGTCTCCTACTACTGTCCTCTCTCCTCACCACCTGTCCCATCTTCTAACATATAAGGGTCTCCAAACATTACCCCCTCCAGAGTTCTCTCCCTTCAGGTAGCATTAGTAGAGGATACAACACTTACCTTTCAGCCATGCCCACCTCTTAATATTTCAAATCTTCTCCCCCAACCAGTCTCAAAATACTCCCCATCTCACTCTTACATTGAGACCCTAGAAGAGTTACTACCTCATCCTACACATATACATGAGGGAGCTCTACCCCAAGCCACCTATACATGGTATACGGATGGCAGCTCCTTCCTAAACCTGTCATACCATCTCTTATTTCAAACCTTAATCTCTACATACAAGCTATTAAATAATGTCTTGCCTAACCGCTTTGAAGAATGCTGGTTGTGTGTCCCTCCTGGGTCAAACTCACAACCACCCTTTGTGGCCTCACCCATTGTCTTAACAGATTTTCCCACTTTGCCACTTCTAAACTGCTCTGAGCCAAACATTACTACCACCCCTTATCTCTCCCACATCTCTCTCTTCGGTATCTCAGACTGCTTTAGCTCAGCAGGAACACACCTTGTGGGCATTCTAGATTCTAAAGACTGCAACAATACCATAACGCTTAATACTACCACACAGCCCCTATGTCCAAATATTCACAATGCGTCGATTCTCTGTGGCACACAGGTATACCACTGCCTGCCTGCCAGTTGGTCTGGGACATGTACCCTGGTGTTCCTCTTCCCTAAATTAGGAGTGATACCTGGTGAAGAGCCCCTACCAATTCCCATCACTAAGTTTATAGCAGGACGACATGACAAGCGAGCAATTCAGATCATACCCCTCCTGGCAGCTCTGGGCATAACTGCAGGTGTGGCCACAGGAACAGCAGGATTAACCATTTCCCTAACGATGTACCATAGGCTTTCCTCACAATTCATCCAGGATTTCCAACAGGTAGCTCAAACCATCCTCACCCTTCAGGGTCAGATAGACTCCCTATCTGCTGTAGTACTACAAAATCGGAGAGGACTAGATTTACTAACAGCAGAAAGAGGTGGACTTTGCCTCTTTCTCGGGGAAGAATGTTGCTTTTATGTTAACCAGTCAGGAATAGTAAAGGATAAAATTCAACAACTTCAAACAGACCTTCAAAAATATAAAGAACAACTTGATAGCTCTGGCCAGTGGATCACTAATAATCCAATATGGAACTGGATGCTACCTTTTCTAACTCCTCTTCTCTCTGTTTTCTTAATTCTACTAGTGGCACCCTGTCTTATAAATTTTTTGTCTAGATTCCCTCAACAACAAGTTGAAAAAATTTCTAACCAAACTTTCAACCAGTTGTTATTACAGGGTTATCAGCCCCTAGCTAAGGAACCAGAAAGCTACAACACCTGGACACATCTGGACAAAGATGAAGATTGCCCCATGAACCTCGACGCCCCCATTCAGCAGGAAGTAGTCTAATGATAACACCGCCCCTTTTCCAAACCCCAGTTTTATTAAACAAAAAAGGGGGGAATGTAGGGAAAAGGGACCAGTCAAAGAAACACACCCTGAGCAGAGCCAAAGAAACACACTTTGGCCCTGCAACCAGAACCAAAGAAATGTACCCTGACCCTAAAACCAGTGCCAAAGGAACACACTTTGTCCCTGGAATCAGAGTCAGTGAAAGAAATGTACCCTGGCCCTAAAATTGGAGCCAAAAGGCTAAAAAGGACCAGAGAAAGAAACACACTTTGGCCCTGAAACCAGAGCCAAATCTGACCCTAATCCTGTGTAAAAAGTAACCAATCCCGGAGCAGAGCTCTAGCCAATCTGAGCTCAGCACTGAAATCGGACCAATCCCTACCCTGGAAAAACTTCCCCAACCCCAGGAACCCCTATATAAACCCTGTGTATGTTCAGCTTGGCTGGTCCAGCTGTCTTCCAATAAACACCTTTGGATGAGCTTCGGGGTGAAGATCTTCTTTTGCGGCTGCGACAGAGCAAAGGCGACCCTGGGCAGAGCAGAGCAGAGCGAGCAGAGGCGACCCTGGGCAGAGCAGAGCAGAGCAGAGCGAGCAGCGCTGTAACACTTGCCCGGGAAACCTTCCTTGGCAGAGCGGAGTTGTTACACTCTGCTCCCGCCCGGCTCCCTGCTCTCCGCTCGGCTCTCCAGGAGCAGAGCTGAACTGTAGCAACTTCGCCCGAGAAACCTCCTGCGGAGCAAAACTGCTACACTAGGCGAACATCCCCAGCTGGAAGACCCTGTCCTGCCGTGCCGGAGCGGAGCTGACACACCGGAGAAGCCTTTCTCTGAGGCAAGGCTGTAAGCTGCCAAGCTTACTGCAACCCGTGGTGGTCCTTGGCTCCCGAGCTCCAGGATACCTTTCTACCTGAGCTGTGTAACACTCAGTATCCTTGGCTCCCGAGCTCCAGGATACCTTTCCACCTGAGCTGTGTAACACTGGGTATTCTGTGACTCCCGAGTGCCAGAATACCTGACCCACTCACTCCTGTTCCATCCTGTCCTGACCCATCCCGACGAAACGCTTACAGGGTTACTAGGTTGAGTAAGCTCGAGTACTATAACCAGACCATGTCCCAAACAAATAAAGAAATAAAATTTACCTCAAGGCAATAAGGTATCCAAAGATAAAACAGGTTTTATTTCCTGTTTGATTGTGTATTTTAAAAACAAAAACCAAGGCTACCACCTTGTGTTGATGAAAAGTCTCAGGACAGGCTGACTCACAGGTTAGGAAAGCCAAGTGCACAGCTGACTGCGCAGGACGGCCCAGCTCGGAATGTGCACAGCAAGTCTTAGCGTGTTTGGTGGAAAATACAGGAGTCACTAATCTTCCCCTTAGCCATCTGTTAAGTTTAGCTCCTGGTCAGGCTGGTATATGCCAGAATCAGGTGTGAAAGAGGAGAATTGATTCCAAAAATTCTAGTGTGCTGCTGGAATCCGCTCCTCACAGCAGGCCACCCCTGTCTGATTTCAAGTTGTGGCTCAAGGACAATGTTAGTGATTGCACGATGGAGCTCCAGCTAAGGAAACATGTAACAACCTTTGCTTGGTCGCCCTGGGCAACCAAACTTCTCCAAACCCAGAGCTCGCCGGCAAAACAGTGTTTGTGCGCCTGGCTGACCGCTGCCGCTGGCGCCCCCAAGTGCTGCAAGCCAGTCGGCGCGTCCTGGTCGCTCACTGGCTCTCTGGTCTGCCCTGTGGCTTCTTAGAAAAGGGCTGAACTCCGAGCCTCAAGGGCTGACCCAAAAGGCTTACCAAGGACTGGGAGGGAGGGAGCCGCTCAGGAGACAGCGCCAGAATCTTCCGGCCCATTTTGCCACTCACCCGTTTGCTTTTTATTCCTGCCTGGAATTTCCTCTTTGCAAAAGGGACGCTTTGGCATCGTAAAGGTGCCGCACCAAGTGGAGAAGTTGTACATGCAAGGATATTATCCCCTTCCTCCCACTCCTTGGATAGATAAATGTGTACTATGTGTGTGGGATTGGGTGGGGGATGAGGAAACTTAAAAGATCCAAACACCTCAAAGGGGCAAAGAATGGTCCCTTATCCTCATCTTTCTCGTCCGGGATTTCACAGCTCCCTCCGTCCAGGGTGCACCCCCACGATACACCTACAGCGGGTCAGCCTCACACAGCATATCAACCAAGACGCACGGACTAAAATCCAATGGCCGCACACAAAACTTACAGATGTTCAACAGGGCTTTTTCCAGTGCTCCTAGTTGGAGGCTGGAGCTGGGTGGGAGAACTAAGAAATGGTGTTGGTAGCAGTCATCACAAATGGGGACAACTTCTCATTTTCGCCCGTTTCAAAACCCCCAATCACTCCCCGAGCAGTGATCAGCCACGAAGAGCGCCCCCCCCGCATGTTGCTCGGGAGGTGAACCCCAAGTTTTAGGTTGCAGGGTGAAGGAGGGGTGGGAGGGCAGGAAAGGTGGGGGACAGGAAGGACAGTCCCAGAAAGAGCAAGAGCGCCGGCTGGGGGAGAGGGAAGGGGAGCGTGGGGTGGTGTGTGTGTGTGTGTGTGAGAGAGAGAGAGAAACGTTTTCACTCTTTGTCACTCTTGAATTGGGGGCGGAGGAAAAACCCCACTGTGAAAGCTATAAAAAGAGAAGAGGGCGGGGGAGAGCAGAGAGAACACTGGCCTTCCGCGCAGAGCATCATTGCATCGCTGCCCGCTGGCCGTGCTTGGTGGCCCGGTGTTGAACCAAGCAAGGGACAACTCTTCACCGCACCGGTGGGAGTGCGCGTGTAGGGACTTGGCTTGCCTCAGATCTCCGAATTCTGGTCAGGCGGGCGACTCTTGATCTCCAGTTATAAAGCGTGCCGCCCTGGAAAAGTGGGACTTGAGTATTGCAAAGGTTTAGAGCTAAAGCGCAGGGAAGGAAAGAACAGCAACCGAGGCCGAAGGAAAAGAAACTGGGGAGAACTCAGTGAGCGGTTAAGAGGAAGGATTCAATCGCGGAAAATCGGGAAAGAACTCAGGAGCTGCAGAACACGAGCGACAACCGCGGTGCGATCTGCAGGGCTGGGTCTTCCAGCACCTTGGGTCACGCCTCCTTGGCGAGAAGGCGCTTGGCCTTTGATTGCTTCCAGGGACTGCAGAACTTCCTGCCCGCCAGAGGAGCGGGTCTCTCTGGGGTCGCGTTTGCTCCTGACTGGAGGCTTTAGACTGAGTTCTGAAAGTCCTGGGTGCCTGGTCCAAGAAGGGCTGGGGGAACGGTGTCTGTGAGGAGCCCACGCGCCCCACGTGAGGGGTTGATTGTCCGAGTCCTCCATCTCCTGGCTTTTACAGTTCTCTCGGGGCTCCACCCCACCGCAGGAACCCCTCACCCGGAGATGGCCGCACTGATGCGGGGCAAGGATTCGTCCCGATGCCTGCTTCTACTGGCCGCGGTGCTGATGGTGGAGAGCTCACAGCTAGGCAGCTCGCGGGCCAAACTCAACTCCATCAAGTCCTCTCTGGGAGGAGAGACTCCTGCTCAGGCTGCCAATCGATCTGCGGGCATGAACCAAGGACTGGCTTTCGGCGGCAGTAAGAAGGGCAAAAGCCTGGGACAGGTAGGAAACCCCCTCAAACACACTCTTCAGCCAGGAGAGGTAGGGACCAGAGCATTTGCGCTTGCGGTTTGCTTTTGCGCCCTGAAAGAGTCAAAGTCTTAACCCCAGCCAGGTGTGGTACTTCTGGCTACCTGGGAGGCGGTTCATGAAGCTGGGTGTCTGCAAGGATACCGGAACCTGGGCGATTTGCTGGTCTCTGGGATGTTTGTTTAGAGCGGGGGCGGGGTAGATTTGGGTTGAGACATAGGCGCTTTTCAAGATCTAGTGCGTTTCTTTGACAAAGCGGCCAGAATGGTCCTTCCATCTAACATGCGGATGCAATGGAACAGCAGCTGACATAGCACCTGGGATGTGCTAGCCTCGATTCTAAGCGCTTTGGGTATTCATTTGTTTAATACTCACAACTCTGGAAGACAGGGCCTGTTGCTTTCCCGTCTTCAAATGAAATGTTTGTGTGTCTGCCCAAAACGCACAACTGGTCTAAGTGACAGCGCGGGAAGTAATAGTGCACTGTGAATATGGATTCCAGGTGCTCGAAACCTTTTACACTGCCCAGAAGTTCTCTTTCACGTTCTCTTTCTCTGCCAAATTCTTTGCACTGGCAGGAAAGATCTTGAATAGGCTCATATTCCCATTCAAGTAGAACTGCGCACAAATCAATTGGGAGGAAAAATAATGAGGTGACAATGACAACCTCTTAGGTGCCTGCAACACAACAGGGATACCAAAACCGATTTTGAGAGAGAGAACTTTCCACTGGTGTCTTGGTGTCTGTCACGCAGGCAGATAGAGCAACAGTTATTTGTGAAGGGTTACATACACTCAGAGCGAAGCAAGCGTGCTCACTGGGCACCAAGTGTGGTCCTTGTGCAGTGGCCAGGAGAGGGGGCTCTGTGGGCACTGAGAATCACCACAGCTCCACCTTCCGCTCTTTTTGTGGGAAGCCAAAATCGAAAGCCAGTTTGCCAAACAGCACAGGCACCGCACCTCGCACAAGTGTCAACCACAGAGGGAGTTCCAAGCTCAGTATATGCGGGTTTTGTTTTGTTTTGTTTTGTTTTTTTCTGGTTCTTCCGAGTTGCAGGCTTCGCCCGCTTTCAGCGCGCTGTCATCAGCTGCAGCTGCCTACAGCCCAGGAGGCAGAGGGAAGGCTGGCAGCTAAGGCTGGGCAGTCAGGGAAGACTCAGGCCTGAGTTTGGCCCCCTACTGCCCTCTCATGGTCTGCTTGCCTGGTGTGTATGTGTGTTGGATGCTGCTTTTGTAGTTTGAGATTGTTTCCCAGGGTTTTGAAATGCCAAACATTTCAGCTCCTTTCTCATAGGACTACAAAGTCTTCAATCCCAGGACTTTAAAAGAATTTAAGGAAAGTAAAATCCTATACATATATGTACATACATACATACATACACACACACATACATACGTAATTTTTGCACATATATCCACACCAACATAGCCACCTGTCTTACCATTTCTTTTTCCATGGAATACACCCCAACATTTTCAACAACAATTAACCTAACCTTCTCTTTGGAAGTTCATCATGAGCTGGGGTCCCGGGCCGAGAGGACATTTACAGATCATCTGCAGCAGAGTGTTCACTTTTTACTATGTCTTCTTAGTTTGAGAGAGCTTTAACTCTCCCAAGAACGGAAGGGCATGGCATCTCTTCAGGCTCCTCTCTCTTCTAAACAGTGTGTATCTGGGGCGATTCTGCACTGTGTGTTTACTTATGACCTAACTTTGGTCCCTAATTCCTGATGATCCTCTATCAAATCACCTGTTATGCCAGTAACCATGAGTGCCTTATGGGCTGGACTAAAAAAACATCCCTGAGTCTAAGTTATCCTTTATATTTTGCTGATGTATCTGTAGACAGATAGCGATGGCTCATCTTTTCTGTCCCTCAAAGACTTCCTTAACTATGTTTTTAAAACCACACTTCAACTCCTCAAATTGAATATCTAATTATCTTATAAATAAGTTGGATTCCTGATATGCCCTTCAGAGCTTAGCATATAAAAAAAGTTCATTATCGCTTCTTAACTATAATTAAGAGTGGGTTTCTGGGAAAAAATCCAACCAGCTGATGTTAAGAGTAAGAAAAACAAAAAAAGGTCATTGGGTGTGACAGGAAGATAGTATCTAGGAGTACTACATTGGATGTATTCTGCCTCCCCACTTGTGGTTTTGTCTAAAGCGTATATTCTCATGAAAAGAGAAGTGACTCTGTCCTTGAAGAAGAGAAATGAATTATTTCAACATTTATTATTCTATTTTCTCTATTCCACTGGATGTGTAGTCTCCTAAAGTCTTAGTATTCATAATTTGACAAATAGTATATAAATTAGAAAACCAGCCCAAGAGAAACAATGCTGCTTTTTTTTTTAAGTGCGGGGGGTTGTTGTCTCTAGAACAGCAGTGCCAGTGCCCAGAAGTTTTGCATACCACCATAACAAAGTTCAATTGAGAAGACTGGAAGCAAGTTGTCAATTGCTGAAAGAAGCTGTTTATATATTACCACCCAAGGCCTAAGAAGTTCAGTTCTGTACATCGCCTTTAGTAGTGTCTGATGACACTGAAATATCTGTCTTTAGGATACAGGGGAAATCTCTAGGATACAACCTCATCTGGAGATCATAAGCTTAGTCTTCGAACCTCTTTCTAGTAAACTGAAATTTAACAACTATCTATTTTAAAAGTTTAGGATAAGGAGCTAAAATACAAATTTTATTGCCATTTCGGAACGATTGTTTTTGAAGAAATTCAATGATTCGTTAATCCACAAAAGGGAAAATGGGAGTGAGTAAGCTGGGGGTTTCCCAGAATCGGTTCAGCCTGGCTTCATGGAAGAGAAGAGCTCTTAATTTATAGATGCTTTGTCTTCTGTAGGAAATGTGCGTGGGTTGTAAACTACTCCTAGAAAACACACCCTTGCATTTGCAGAAAGAAAGAACATAGAGGAAAACAAAACAGAGCAAAAAACTTTGCTGACCAGAGGTGTTGTAGGGCACTATCTTCGCTTATAGTGGGAACTGTCATAGAAAACACTAAAGCTTCCTTTCCAAGACGTCATGAAGACTCATGGTGGGGAGCGACAAAGAGAATGGAGAGTGGTAGTAAATAGGTACTTGGTAAACAATAAGTAGGAAAGGTGGTTTTGATGACTTATCCAGAATTTTTAATTTAACTTTCACTTCTGGCATTGCTAACGGATTATAAAAAATAGTGTGTGCCGTATATTTATATATACACAGGACAAATCAAGTTCCACAAATGTACATACATATGAAACTTATGTATTTCAGCTCCTAAGGGAAGTAAGTATTTCACATGTTTGAAACCAAAAGTAGTTTTAAATACTGTCTTCAAAACCATGGGAAAGATATATTTTTATGCCGTTGCCTGATAGCACCTCTACAGTTTTCCGTATTGAACATTATAGGCCACCTTTGAAAAAAACTTAAAAAATTAAACATTCATTTATCCTTTACAGTTCAGTGTTTTGTGTGTGAATGGAAAATCTGGATTTGTGCTTCTAAGCGTTTCTGTTGCATTTCATTTGCTTTTCTTAGTAGACGGATTTAACTTGAATGTGAACTATAGCATTTCAAATACTTCCAAAAGTGATAGATTGATCAATGACAAATAGTTATATTTAATAAGTTGATAAACATTTTTTTACATGTCCGTAAAGAGTCTTCAGCTAGTTTAATGAAATCTCGATTCTATGACTTTTGAATCGAACTTGTATACTTGAAGAATAGTTGCTTGGAGAAATTATGTTTATTGAAATTCACTGAACTTAGAACTTAGTGAACTTGGTTAGAGACTACTAACATTGGTAAATTTCAATAAAAATGTGATATCTATTTGCACTTATGAAAACTCACGAGAGCACCCACTAAAAGAAACCACACCGTCTTTTCTTTGTAGCGGCTTGCCTTGTTTTCCGAAATTCTCCAAGATTTATTTTAACCCTAGCCCAACTTCTCCCTGCTAAGAAATAAATAACCTTCTAACACTTGTTGGATATCACAATATAAGTATATCGCTTACGTATTCAAAAATAATTTAAAATATTTTGAAAGAATCTACATTTATATTCTATTACGTTCATGGTAAGTCCTGTAAAATTGACCAGTGACACACGCAGAAGGTTACCCATGAGTAGCAGAAGAAACATTTTAATGATAATCTAAGTTATAAGTATCTATCATTTTATTTTTGTGCTAGACTAGAGTGACTAAGAGGACAAGGTGACTTAGATTCACTCCAGCTGTGACTCTGACAGAGTGTAGACTTTTTTATTATTCCCTCAGATGTAGATTTCTGCCCTCTTCCCTCTTTTTCTGACTGTTTCAAATCTATAGTTAAAGTTAGAGCAATGTCATAGAAGAGTAACGGTATATTCTGTTTTAGAATATTTGTGCCTGCTCATTTTATGCATGTAATCATTTAAAGTGTACATTAAAATTATTTATGAAGTTTTAGTAGAGATTTATAATAATGGATTTCCCATTTAAAGTCAGCCCTCTTATGGAAGTAATTCTTTAATATAAAGGTAATATCAAGATGAATTGCAATCTTAGTTCTTCCTATGTCACTGTGAAAATGTACTAAAATTGATTTGCCTCATTATACTTTTAGTTGCTTATATTCATCTCTAAAAAGAGATAAACCTACCTCATGTTATTTACCTGATTGTTGATAAGATTTATGTCATATACTGTCTGCATTAATCTCTTAGTCCTTTTTTTACTATTTTTTTCATATATTTTAATCATAATCTTTCACTTTCTCCAATCCCTCCCAGATCCTCCTCCACCTCCCCATCCACCGAACTTGGTGTTCTTTCTCTCTTTGTTAACCCTCCCCTAAAATCTGAAAATCGAAACAAACTGAAGTTAGTGATAATTAATGGATTAGTTTTTGCATTCTTTTGCATTGCATTTTAAGGTTGCATAGAAAGATTTAATAATATGGAATGCATGATAAAA